GCGGGCATCGAGTTTCCAATGACATTAAAGGACATTTCCAAAGAACCCCGCACGAATCTTATGGATTTTGACTTTTGGTGAAATTGTCTGAAAATTTAGTATGTTGTTCTCCTTACTACCCTGAACAAATGTCTCAATGGGCATAAAGTTCAAAAATGCTTTGGGACCGAATCATAAAGCGCTAAAGTATGAAAATGCGTCTATTCGCTCGATGATAATCGATAAGATTGTAACATATTCATATGTGCGTGTGAGACCGGAAATCGATTCAGCCAATTTGTTACTTCAGTATGAGTGAAAAATTATAGTCACACGCAGTGGACTGCGACAAAATGAACGACTGCGCCATCCGATTGCCGAGCGTAGACGACTCGAATTTAGCAACTATTATACAATAACCAGAAGCGCCATTCGTCATCTATGCCAACTTGGAGTGCGTTCTGCAAAAAACGATACCTGACAAGAAAGACGTCGTTGTACGCATATCACAGCGTGAGATATTTAGTATAGGATACTACGTGCTCGTATAATGACACGTTATCATTGTATCAGTTCCGTCGCGATAAAGATTGCGTCGCGTGGTTCACGCAACAACTCAAAAACTTGGCGCATCGCGTGAAAAATATTATATCCGCTAACATGCCCATGGAAACGTTGTCGAACGAACAATGGAAAGCGTATCATAGTGCGACGCGTCACATCTGCGAGAAACTGTTCGCGCAGGACGATACGCGAGTACGCGATCATTGCCATCTCACTGGTAGATACCATGATCCAGCACGTTTAAATTGCAATTTAATTATAAAAATTCGTTATATATTCCGGTTATAATTCATAATTTATTATGTTACGACGCGCATTTTATTTTAATTAAAGAAATTGCTATCACATATGATAGACAGTAGATCTTCTTTCGATAACGAAGGAAAAATACATTTCAGTCGTTAAACATGTCAAGCACCAAAGATAAAAATGAAAATAACTTTCAAAAAAATTGTATAAAATTAAGGTTCATCGATTCTTTCAAATTTCTAAGCTTCGATAAATTGGCATCGTATCTCGATAAAGGGAAATTAAAAATTACATGGCCTAAAGTTTGCAAGCTCAGCACTGAGGATTTTGATCTTCTCACACGTAAAGGCGTCTTCACATACGAATACGTTGATTGCATCAAAAAATTAGAAAACATGCGCTTACCATCGCGCAAATTATTTTTTAGTTCGTTGACGAGCGACATCGTATATGAGAACGATTACGCTCACGTTGCGAATGTCTGGCAGCGATTCTCTATTCGAACGCTCGGTGAGTACAGTGATCTGAACTTGAAAACTAATGTCTTGTTATTAGCTGATATCTTCGAAAATTTCCGCGAAAGTTGTGTCGCGAGTTACAACCTCGATCCCGCGCATTACTCAGTCGTGGTCTCAGTCAATGTTCCGACAGATGCAGGCTAATAACAAATAAATGCATTCGTACGACTCGTCGACATACTTGATATACTGTGAATAATCTGATGGATGTGAATACGGAATGGGCGATGTGTCAACCGCTGCCGTGTCTACGCCAAATTTTGATGAGTCGAAGACGTCGAAGACATTACGAATTTTGGCGCGAGAGTGATTGCTTCAGATTCGTCCACCGATTATATTTTCGAGGTTGATCTTTAGCAAAGAGAATCAAGAAAGAATGGAGCGGATTCAGTTGGAAGCTGCCATTCGTTAGAGTAGGAGATATGACAGAAGCGTGATAGAACATATAGTGCTGCACATATTAATATTGTACCGAACTAGTATTGTGTGTATATACATACGTGTACATGCACACATGCACATTTGCGAAAGTAAGCGGATAAATGGCAGAACCAATCAGAGAAGAGAACACTATTCGCTCCACTTTCCCTTTATTCTCTCCGATTTTGAGTATCACTATCGATACACTGACCTACCTTTTTGCCCAACGCGCGATAAACCGCCTAGCAAACGCAAGGAACAGCATTGCGTCATCCACTATCGTAATCTGCAGCAATGTACTCGTCTTCGCGTAACAAAGATCCATCAAATTCGGTTACAATTCGTTCAATCCGCCTAGCTCCGTGATTACATTGAATTTAATACACAGTTTAGAACGAGCGCGAAAAACGATTTCGAGGAAAATTTATATAAATTAATGATTAACACGGCAAAATTATGAAAAATGTTCGAAATCACGTTGTTAGGAAAAGGACCTTGTCATCCTTGTTGCATTACGTGAAACGCGGTTTTCTCTTCTTCAGAGACCTGTGCCCTGTGGCTTGTCGGCGATCTGTGTCGCTTGCCCTGTGGCCACGCCCGATATGTATTCGACCGCGTGTAATAAATGAGGCAGTTTACTTCGTGAGAGAATACTTTAATGTGTCTTGGGTACTGTTACAACTCGCGTTGTACAATATCAAAACCGGTTTGCTCACCGGTCACGTGAACATGCGAGGATGGTCGCACACACAATAGTGGCGAGCAACACGACGGATTCGCTCGCAGGCAGCATAGTCGCGCGCATGCCCTTCGATGGGCCTTACCAGCGACACGGGAACGCTGTAATCACGTCAGTAGGCCGACGTGCTGGTATTAGACCGCCTGAGTTAAACTTATATTAACAAGCGCCAATATACCGCCGCCCTTGAAAGGATCGCCTTTCAATAACTACAAATAAATGTAAATGATAACTAAAATAACATCTTGTTTCAAATGATGAAAATAATAATAATAAAAAATGAACAGTCAATATGAGTTGCATAGAAAACGTAAAATTTCAAATGTCATAACCAGACTTTAGTTTTCAATTGAAAGTAGACAGAGACGGGTAATAGGTCGTTTGTAACTGCCGTTAGCAGTACTACGCACCGTAACAACGTGGGCTATGGCATCCTTGCCTGGATGTATCTCTTGAATTCTTCCCAGAAGCCATGATAGTGAAAGGGTGTTATCTTCTTTGATGATAATTATTTGACCAATATGTATGGACGGTCGTTTATCCGCCACTTGTTACGTTCCTGGCATTGGTGAAGGTACTCATGTGTCTACCGCTTCCAAAAATGTTGACGTAATAGTTGTATATACTGCCATCGTGAGAGACGATTTACAGGTACCTCATCCAGGGATGGCTCGGGATAAGATGTGAGAGATGTATCAACTAAAAAATGTCCCGGAGTTAGCGAGGTGAAGTCATCGGGGTCCGCTGAAAGAGGAGTGAGCGGACGTGAATTCAATATTTCTTCAATCTGGATGAGTATGTTTCCAACTTCTTGTGTTTCGGATTGGAATTCTTTGTAATGCGAGCCAAATGTCGCTTGATTGCCTTCATGGCAGCTTCCCTCCATGATGGGGAGACCGAGGTGAGATAAAGTGCCATTGAACTCCCAAATTTAGAATCTGATTCTGGATATGTTGTTGAGTTGACTGATTATGAAGTAGATCGCTTAATTCGCGCCGACGAAGTCCGAAGTTTAGTCCGTTGTCAGAAAAGATGTCTGAAGGGCAACCTCTTCTCGCTACAAAGACCGCTTGAAGACATTTAGAAATGCTTCTGACGACAAGTTAGATGCCAACTCGATATGGATTGCTTTGGTGATTAAACAAATAAAAATTGCGATATAGTATTTTACCAGCTTAGTGATTCTTCTAGCACCTTGTAATAGAGAGGGCCGGCATAGTCCACATTGATCAAATATTTTTAAAGAAGTTTTAACCCGTGGTTCCGGTAAATTTTCCATGATAGTGGAAGTGAGTTTTTGACGAACTCTTGAAACAGATGATGCATTTCTTGAAAATTTAATATGATTGTCGAATGACATTACGCGCTGAAATGAGCCAGTAGCGCTCACGCACTGCGACTAGAGTAGCTTGCGATCCGGCATGAATGTTTTTTTCATGCTCGTGTACCACAATTAGACGGGAAAATGGATGATTCTAGGCAACAGCATGGGATGCTTGGAGGCATAAGGCGAGGAGGATTCTCTTAATCGACTTCCGACATGTAAGATGCCAGAGTCGTCAAGAAATGGATTTAATTTTAAGATAGGACTGTTTGTGGGAACAGCCTTACTAAGTGACCTTATTTCATTTGAAAAATGCTTCGCTTTTATTATCTTGATTAGATGATAAATTGCCTGTTGTTGCTCATTGAAAGATATAGGTGGAATGTCTTAAGAGCCTTTTGAAGCCAGCTCTCTCTGTCACGCTCCAGCCAGGCTCCAGGAAGGCCCCGAACAGATTTTTAATTGAACTAGGGAATCCGGCATGATGCCCCGGGACAATGGATCTGCAGGACTGTTATCACTCAGAACGTGATTCCACTGATGAATCGATGTTAATTCTTGTATCTCACCAATGCGGTGTGCTACAAAGGTTGATCATGATCGACTGCACGATTGCAACCACGATAGTACAATTGTAGAATCTGTCCATAAATAAATGGATGCTATTGGACACGTAAAACACTTGGAGATCTTGTTGATAAGCTGAGCTAGTAGCAATGCATCACATAACTCGAGGCGCGGAAGTGACAAACTCTTTAATGGTGCCACTCTAGATTTGAAGCAAAGTAGGTGTATGCAATAAGCACCGTTGATTGAAGTGGAGGTTGATTGAAGTAAATAGATGCATGCTCCGTATGCAATTTCGTTAACGTCTGAGAACCCATGTATTTCTAAACGGGTATGTTGTTCTGTAGTTATGACAAGACGAGGAATATGTATACCATTCAGTTCCTGTAACTCCATTTCGAAACGCTTCCATTTGGTATGTAATTCTAAGGGAATCGATTCATCCCAATCAAGCTTGAATTGCCAGAGATCCTGAATGACGGATTTGGCAAGTAATGTAACTGGACCCAACAGTGGATCCCAATGGGACAAAAACGAGAGATATGCGCAATAAAATATTTCGTTTGGTAGGCGCCTCTAGAGGAGGCAGATGATTGATGGACGAATATGTTGATAATTTGAATACATCTGCTTGATAATCCTACGCAATGCCTAACGTTCTTTTCTCGGAGTTCTTGTTTGAGGATAAGATAAATTCTCTTGGCTCGCCGGATGAGTTCTGATCCTGGAAGCTAAGAACATTGGATGACCATTTTCTAAACTCGAATTTCTCGTCCTGCAGCAATGCAGTGATCTCTTTCTTGGACAGAGCTTCATCTACTAAATCAGCCCCCGTGACGAGATCATCCACGTAGAAATCTCGCAATGCCATTTGCGACGCCCTTGGATAGGAATCTGCATTGTCCTCCATTAATTTTCTTAGGGCTCTGATAGCCAAGAATGATGCTGATGAAGTATCATAAGTGACAAATTCGAAGGTCTTGATGGGCTCATCTGGAAACTCTCGCCAGAAAATATGTTGCAATGACATTTGAGTTGAATCGATCAGAACTTGCCAATACATCTTTGTTATATCGGCGGTGAGAGCGATTTTGAATGTTCGGAATCTGATCAAAATGGAGAAAAGATTCTCTTGTAGCGTAGGTCCCACTATCAATGCATCGTTTAAAGATAGTCCGGTCGTGGTTTTGCAAAAGCCGTCAAATACCACCCGGAACTTCGTAGTGGAGCTCGTTTCATTTCGTATAGCATGGTGTGGGAGATAGAAAACTGGAGAGCTAGAGCTTGGCATCATGTCACCTCCTTTATGTGGTTCAAATGTATGTATTCATCCATGAATTTCTTGTATTCGTCATACATGTGTGGTTAAGCGATGAGCCGCTTCTCCAAAGATTTGAAACGTTTTAGAGCGATGTCCTTGAATTCTCCTAAATTGCCCAGTTTGTCTTGCTTTATTGGCAGTTTGACGATAAAATGCCTTTCCATATTACGTCTTACGCCTTATAGGAATGACTCTTCACAGGCCTTTTCTTCGAGGGAAAATGGTTTAGTAGTATCATGTTCAATCTCTTAAAACTGATTCAATGTGAGCCTTAAGTAATCGAGTGAGGTTAAATGAAAGTTAAGAGAAGAGAACAGGTCTGGTTATGTCACTTGGTGTAATACCAGAAATGATCCATCCAAAATGTGTTTTTTGCAAAGTCGGCTGATTTTTTGATTGTTTGATCTGACCCGCACAAATGAGCTTCCAGAAGGACTCGGCCTCGATTAAAATATCAATGCTAGCTACATACGTTAAAACTGGGATCAGCGAGTTTTATATGTTTTGAAACAGACACATTTTGCATGGGTATGAAGTGCTGTGGCAACTGTTGTGTTATTTTTGGAAGCACTACGCAGTCCATTTTTTCGCAGAAATGATTAAAACGCGATTTGACGCAAAGATTAACTACTTTATTAGCGTGGATTACTTCATCCATGACTCTCGTCATTAATATATCAAGAAGTCGCTCCTCGAGCTTCAATTGATTGGCTAATTCGTTATCAAGTAAAATTCGCTATCAAGTAATGCTCGAATGAATTTGATTATGAATTTTGGAATCGTTATAATTATACGTTGATAATTGCAATAGATAGTAGAATATTTAACAAATGATGACCTGATGTATACTACGTGACGATGGGGAGTGGAGGATTGATAGCTTGATTTGTTGATTGCATGTTTGATCCCGATTGATCGGAACTGTTTGGAGTACTTATGTGTAACAATGTGTTGTTTTTTGCTGTATTACCGGCAATTGTTTTCATTTGATGTGTGTTCAATCTCAAACAATTGAGACATAAATGCGCTTTTTTCGCGGCCTTAATTCTATCTTCGACCGATAAATTGAGGAATTCTTTACAGTGATATTGAATAATTTTCTTTGGAAAGTACAAGAAAGATTGGATGTAGCAACATTTGCGATGGATGTGGACTTTGAATTGCACTATGCTTTGATGTGATACTACTTGTTACGATATTGTAAGATCTATCACATACCAATTCTAAAGTCTGGCATCGAAGAGTCAAGAATTCTATTAAGCTTTTTAAATCTGGCAGGTCTTTTCCCTTGATACTTGATTCCCACGCCTTGCTGGTGGCTACATCCAACTTACAAATAATAAGATGAACAATTAAATCATCCCAATAATCAGTGAGCCTTAAGCGCGCGTAAATGTTTAAGAATGGTGTCTAGTAATTCGCAAATCATGCTGTGATTTTCCTTACGTACAGCTGATACTTCAAATAAGGCGCGACATGCTTTTGATCAAGTCATCTCTGATTGTCGAAATGTTCTTTGATCGCTGCCCATGCTTTATGATAATTAGCTGCAGTGGTCTCTATAGATTTGATTATATCAGAGGCAGTGTCCTTTAAGAAGGACCTCAGGTAGTGAAATTTTTCGATTTTCACTAAACCTTCATTTAAATGGATTAGCTTTTCAAAGGTATCCCTGTAGGAATATCAATCGTCGTATGCATCTGCAAAAACTGATAAATCTATTTTAAGCAATTTGACACGCGTTTCCCTTGAGTAACTGTGTGTCCATTAACGTTTGATGAAGTTGGCTGAGATGCGCTTTTGTCCATACTCAATGAGACCGGTATAACGAGCCATTAACTGGAAGTAAGGGGCTTCAAAATTGTCACGCTGTTGCGCTTGTTGTTCATGGAAAACCTTTTTGTCGGTGATCGAGGGATCTGCGTTTTCGAGAATTTCTATGTGAGATTGAGCCGCTTCGAAGTGACTCCATAATTCAGACAATATGTGCTTTGTGTACCTGTCGGCGATCTGTGTCGCTTGCCCTGTGGCCACACCCGATGTGTATTCGACCGCGTGTAATAAATGAGGCAGTTTACTTTGTGAGAAAACTTTAACGTGTCTTGGGTACTGTTACAACTCGCGTCGTACAGTACAATATCAAAACCGGCTTGCTCACCGGTCACGCACGTGAACATGATCGCACACACAACAATGGCGAACAACACGACGGATTCGCTCGCAAGCAGCATAGTCGCGCGCATGCCCTCCCCTTCGGGCCTTACCAGCGACACGGAAATGTTGTAGTTACGTCGGTAAACCGAGCTAGTATTAAACGGGCTAGTATTAAATCGGCTGAGCTAAATTTATATTAACAAGCGCCAACACAGAAGCGTAAACATAGAATTATTAACAAAATGAGATGGACGATACGGCGCGGAGGCAATAATCGCGAAGCCGAATTTCCACAGTCGTAGCGTCTTTGCAGAAAATTTTGATCGCCATCGAACTGTGCAAACTCGAGGTGAAGTTCAACAAGCCGATTTACGTGGATACTTGATGTATGTGTATACTTGACATATCGAAAGTTTGCTTGTACGAATTTCACCAAGAGTACATGTCACCGATGTATCGCGACAAATGTAAAATCATGTAATAAAATCACACCGATACAGACAATGTCATCTCATTTACCACATAGAATGCGAAGACGTTTACGAGACGATGAAACGCGATATCGCTAAATTCGGCACGAGCGATTATCCGATAGACAACGCGTACGATACCTTTCGCGAACAAAATAGTACTGGGTCTAATGAAGGATGAGAATAACGGTACGATAATGATCGAATTCGTTGGACTCGGAGCGTGTATGTATGTGATGAGAGTGGATGGCAAGAAGGATATTAAAAGGACGAAAAGCGTAAAGAGTAACATCGTAGTGTAAACTATTCGATAATATTCGATGATTATACGCAGTGTTTGAAACGAAGAGATCGACAAACAACTCGTCGTCAAGCATGTATAAATTACACGAGGTGCACACGATATCCGAATCGAAAATCATTCTGAGTCCATATGACGACAAACGATACGTCGTTCCAGACTCGATGGAGACATTAGTAGGGACATCAGTGGATACCTTTGTAATATACATTATATACATATTAATATTTATATTATATTATTATGTTTTTATATTATTTATATATTTATATACATATATGTATATTCATAATATATTATTATTATTATTATGCTTCATGTATTACTATTTCTATTGAATGCGGTCACCTTTACCAAATTGTATTTGGAATCGCGGTGATAAAAAATCTCGGCGAGTTTCTCGGCACTTCTCGAAAAGATTCGTTTTATAGCGGTTTTCACTAAGCAATAGCACGGCGGTTTTACGAAGCGATATAGTAGCAAGACTATGACTCTAAGAACTCTAAGAACTTTTAGAAGTAAGAAGGAGGACGGCGAGATCGAAGCATTTATTGCTTTCAGCCTGAGCTTTCTTTTTTGGGAAAAATCCAATAAAAATTTGCCACAATCGTAATTATTACGTGGCATTAGGTATACAAACTTGATTGGCGCTTTGGATTCTTTTCTAACGACGTTCAACGTAACAGTCATGCGCGACAGAAAATCCGTGCGTGGGATTGGTGACAGCGCGTGACGTATTCGTCGGAGCGCGGCGCTCGCGTGCGCGAATTGAATCGTTCTAGAACTTTCGATTGTCCGTTGCCGGTAACGACAACTTGTTTGCGTGTTAACGAATTGTTTTAAAAAGAACAAAGAACGACGAATCGATGATTTTAACGAGGATTAAGATCATGCTCGAGATGAAATCACGAGCTCAATTTATGCATGCGTTCAATGACAATTAATGTCGATCGACTGAAAGAATTCTTGCCTTTCTTTCGAATTACTGATCTCAAATACTTATCTATTATCTTAATGTGCACTTCATGTATAGGGTGCGTCAAAATCCGGACAAATCGGAACAATTTCTTTAAACAAAATATTTTTAATGAAAAATTAAAAATTATAAAAAATCATCTTACATGGCACTTGGAGAATTCCTGTAGAATACAATTATATATCCCCCATTAACTTAAATGATGGTCTCTATTCTCGCTCTGAAGCGTTCGCACGTATGTTGTAATGTAGCGCTGTCCATGCCGACGAATGCTGCCTCAATAGCGGTCCTTAATGACATTTGGATGCCGAGACTTGTTTGTGACCCTTTCAACTACGCTCCATACTTAATAATCCAAGAGATTTAAATCTGGGCTGTTGGGAGGCCAGAATGGGAGGCAAGGCGAGCAATTCGAGCTTGTCCTGGCAGCCTCAAAGAAATCTGTCGTACCTTTAATGTGTACGATTTATATCGAAGGTCCTCCTCGGCAATTCGACACATTGTTGACTCGTTTACACCAACAATCGATGCTAATTTTCGCAACAATTGCCTGGGTCATTCGAAATCAGCGCTTGAGCCCTTCAATGACTGCGGGGGTCCTCGCGATGCGTTCTTTCTCTTGCGTGACTCTTCCTTGCTGGCATACTGGAACCTTCGTTGGACTATTCTAAAGCCGTATATTTTGCTACAACGTCATAAACGGATGATCTCGGGTATCCAAAAACTGAATTATTTCTGTTGCTGAGCGCTCAGCGCGAAGGCCTTCGATCGCGGCTCTTCGATTATATTCCGCACTTGTGGTTTCAACATTTTAAAAGTATGACTGTTTACTAGAAACATCAGGTTTTCTTGGACGCCAACAACAACCTTTGGCGGAGGCAATATAGCAGAAAATTTAAATTGAAATTTGTCCGGATTTTGGTGACGCACCCTGCATATTTTGACGTTTTTTTATATTTTCATACAGCATATATTAACATATACACTGTAATATATATATATATATATATATATATATATATATGCGTTACCTTTATATACTATTATCTGTTATTTATAATTTACACGTAAT